AACAATTTATATAGTTTAATAAAATGGTTTAAATATAAATTCTCTTAATAATTATATATTTTAAAATACTTAAATGTAGAACTTTGTTAATCTCGCAAAAAAAGTTTTATAATCCTTAGTGACGAAGTATTTTCAAATTAAATTTCTTGTAGATTCCTATAATTACGAATTTAATTTTTCAGTACTTTATTTAAAAACGTATAAATATAATGCGGTACATTAAAAAATATTGTCAGTTAATTATAATAAAATAAATAAATTAAATTTATATTCGAACGAAACAAAGAAACTGGATTTATTATATACGAATGAAATGAAGGAACTGGATTTATTATATCCGAATGAAACGAAGGAACTGGATTTATTATATCTGGATAAAATGAAGGAACTGAATTTATTATATCTGGATAAAAGGTAAATTCAAATAGGAAGAAACCAGATTTATATTCGAATGCCGAATATCGGTTCTAAACTCTAATTAAGAATATATAAAAATAAAATTAATTTATCATTTTTATAAAATTTGATATAGTTTTATCTTTTTTAAATTTTTTTTAGATTTTTTAATAATTTTTTAATATATAATTTTACTGAATTTTGCCTTATACTATTTAGTTTATCTGTCAAATCTTTTGATTTTATTTACAAATCTTAAAATAAGCAATATATAATACATATTTTTTATAAATTAATAAAATTTACAAATCAAATGTATTACTTAATAACTGTAAATTATTAGTAATTACCTATATGTATAATTAACTAATTTAAATAAATTAAACTTTTCTAGTATAATTATTTGTAATATTATAAAAGTTTTTATAGATAAAAACCAAAAAAAGATATTTTGAGTTAACATTAAATATGAATATACAGTATTTTATTTTCAAATTATATTTAGCATATAAACAATTTTTATTTTTTTTTAGTAGTTTTCTTTTTACTGAAAAGTACCAATATATAAATATTTTCACATTTATATATCAAATATATATGAAAAGATCATAAAATAATCTTTAAATATTAGTATACAAAATCTTTATCATCATTTAATATAAAAATGACTAATTAATATAATATTTTTTTTGTTTTGATTTTACTTAAATTTATTATAAAATATTTATTTGAAAAATTTTAGATAAATTTTGTAAAATAAACTTTTGATAGGATAATATTATTTTTATATATGTTTTTTATTAACCGATTTTTCATCATATGTACTTATTAAATTTTTCTTAACTTTGAAGCTTATAGAGATCTTATTATATAATGAAAGGTTTATATCTCAGGTTCTTTGAAAAGTATAATAATCTTGGATAAGATTATAAAAATTACTTCTGTAAGGGAAGTGAAAAAAAAGTAAAGGCAATGCATGAATTAGATGAGTATTTCTATTCATAGGAACTTTAATCATCATGAGTGGGTTTTGTTCTGTTTGCATATATACTAAACGTCATTAAAAAGTGAAAATTTCAGGCTTTTAGAAAAACAGCTTTGCGGAAGGCATTGTTATGCTGCGGATTCCATCAGTGAAATCGAAGATTGTTAAAGAAATTGTTATTATGCTCTTCCTTCAAATTATCAAATGATGATATTAATGAGAATGAAATAATAAAGAAAGAGGGTATGGCGCAGACTCGGATGTAAATTCATCAATTGGGTATCTTCTGATTCAAGGAGTCTATTGGCGCAAGTTAGATTTCCTTTCTGGTACGCAGTCGTTAAGTTTACTCTTCAAAGTCTGTTTGCAATAAACTTTAATTCATCGACACGTTGAAAATTAAAATATTGTAAATATCGAAATTTGAACTTATCATAATTATATTACGTTAGATTTTAAATTTTTATGATTAAGTTATTGTAGTAAAAGAATAAATGTTTGCGGCGAACTTTTTTTAGAAATAAAATGGCTTATACTGAAATTATAGTTTCTTTGTATTTTATTTTTTTTGCGCAACCTTCACAGACATTTTACGGCCATCGCATATATGGAATTCCTGTTTGCTATGAATTTACTTAATATTAACAATTAATTTTGATCACCTTATAGTTTCAATCTTAGCAATATGTGAATAATACGAAAATTACCGTTATATTTTTAAAATAAAAAAATACTGCGACAAATATTTATAATGTCATATCATACTGTGCTCAAGTCGAAAGGTAAATCTGGAATTTTTTTTGTCTTGTTCTAAGTTAGGATTGGTACGATATTAACAAACGCCCATATGCGAAGCACAATATTAAACCCAAAATGAACAATAGAAAAAAGGGTTGAAATTATGTAGATGTCAAATTTTTTTTTTATCATAATCATCGAGTTTGTAGATCTTACAAGCCCATTAGATTGTTCGCCTTTCTATTAAATTTTTTTTTTTTATTTGGCTTTAACTTTTTTTTTTCTGAATTTTTCTCTTTCTTATTTTTATTATACAAAAAGGCATTAATTTAGAAAATGTCTATTATCGATATTCTTTAAAAACTTAATCTTTTACCGATCGGGAAGATCGGGCAAAACCGTCCTATCGGTGAGATCGATCTACAAGATCTGCAGCAAATCAGCCATTATTAACACAAAAAAAAGTGTTCGAAACATTATAACCCATATAAAAGTGTATACAAAATCTTCTAAGTTATACAAGAAAAAAATCGATTTCTTATCTAAAAACTGTGCCTCTCAAAATCATCTTATTATTATCTTTCATTTATATGACGTTAATTTGTAACGCAAATAATAGGAACCATAGGAGATACGAACACAGTAAAATTTTGTAGCATTGTATTACAAAGGGATTAAACAAATTCACGAAGAGGTATCTCTATTGTGTAACTTTATTTTCTTAAAAGAACAATATTGATATTTTGACTTATGCAAAGAAATTTTAAATTAATACAAAATCGGAACTTCAATTTCCGAATTGATGAGTTGCGCGAATCTTAATTTTTACTTGTTTAATTTTGACTATTACGAGTACTTGTACTTTGATTTCAACTCGAGATAATCAGAACCCAATCTTACTAAAAAAATTAAATAAATTAAAATAAATTAATTTTGATTTTCGATATTTGAAAACACATCCTATCAGCTAACCAATCAGAATTTATGTTACACGATTTTTAAATTAAAAGTTTTATAAAATTTAATGGACTGAGACGACAGAAAAAGTTACTACTATGACTGTAAGTTTCTAAAATGAAGGATACTTCAGCATATGTAATTAAAAGAAAAAAAAAAGCACATCTAAAACAATACAATTATATGATATAAAATATTATCGTCATACATGATTCTTTGGAAACTTCTTTTTTTTTTTTTTTGTGGACATAAATCTAGACTAACGCAAATCTTAATTTATAGGTACACGATCTTGAGATAATCTGAACCTTATCTACGCTATAAAATTTTTGTACTACAATCATTAGAAATTCAAAATTTAAGATCGTTTTCTTCCACCCCAAAATCAAAATATAAATCCCCCTTTGGAGGATACATCCTTACAATAAATAAAAAAAATTTTATTTATTTATTTTTATTTTTACGAATTCTTTAATTACATTATCAAGATATGAATACCTCAAAGACTTTTGCTTCTATCCTTGTTCTTTTCTTCGCTTTCATCTCTTCAGCGAATGCTCATTTTAGGTTCTTTACCCCTCCAAATAGAGGGTCTGGAGGTGACTTGTATGCCCAATTTCCTTGTGGAGGTTTTAATGAGATAAACCTTACTTCCATAACCGAATTTCCTATAAGTAAGAATTCTAACAACGCTTGACTTCATATTTTAAAAGCTTTAAACATACACCGTTAAATTGTATAGATTTTTGTTTTTAATTATGGGAAAAAACAAGTAAATTTTGTAAATTGTATTTTTTTTACATAAATAGATGGTGTGGTTACTGGCAGGTTTGGAGATCCTGCTACTGGTACAATTATTTACAGCTACGCACCCACTTCTAGTGGTACTTTCGTGCCTGTTTCAGGTATATAATGCTTTAATTACTAGGGAATCTATTTAAAAAAAGAACTTTTAACCAAGTTATTTTTTTTTGATATACACAGAAAACATCACGATCGAATATACCGATGCTTTCGCTTATCCGCAGTATCTTAATACAACACTTGATCTCACCAAGGCTAGTGCCAAAGTTGGTGATCAAGGTGTGCTTCAAGCGTTTTTACAGTCAGCCACCCTGACTCAATATCAATGCGCAGATATCAAGATTTCGGACAAACCTCAAGTATTTACTCCTATTCCTGCTCCTTCTCCTTCTCCTTCTCCTTCTCCTTCCCCTGCTCCTGCTGAAGCACCTAAATCCAGTGGATTTGTTGGAACCCCTTTACATTTTATTATCACGTCATGTATCATTGCTTTCACCATTTTGATGGTTCTTTAAATTGACTTTGAATAAGGTGTTAAATGATTGTTTATTTTTACTTGAATAAAAAAAAAAAATTTTTTAAACAACAAATGTAAATAAAGGTTGTATGACAATAAAATATATTCATATCGAAATTTTTTACTAAAAACAGGTTCTTTTTTTTTTTTTTTTTTTTTGATATTAACGAATTTCAATTTTCTAATGTGCTGTACCGATTTATTGGTTAAGGATCAAAGGTATTGATGCCGTGAAATAAATTCATAAGCCATCATTTAAAATGGTATTATCATAAAGTTTGTGTATGGAAAAAAAAAGCCGTATCATAAATTTTTTGTTTAAAAAATCATTTCATATCAGTAATAAAAATATTAGTAACCTTAAATTTTTTCGGAATAAAGAATCATAAAAAATTTCAATAAAAACGACATCAATATCTTGTACATCCTCATTATAACCATTAATTATCGATTTTTTTGTTTGTGCAACATCAAAGCATCAATCATTTGTAAGATAAATATTGAACTCATTTTGGCAATTCATTTAGTATTTGAAATTTGTTTCGGATGGTCCAAAAGGAGAAAATGACGTGATTCGTGCAATAACGTGTTTGACGACATCAAAACAAAAACGGTTGAGAAATCAAATTCAAAGTGTTGAGATAAAATCCATCCTCTCGTGTATGACATATTTAATCTTTTAAATATTTTTTTCTTCAGACAAAAGACGCTTTCAACTGTTTATTTCTCTATTATTTGAACCCTCCAATTTAATCAGAATTTACAAAATGAGTCAAAGTTCAATTTAACAAATTAAATAGATTAATAATCGAAGAATCAATTCGGAAGGCTACAACTTAGAAGACAACGTGCAAGTGAATAAATCATACAATTGTTTCATTTTCTAATTGAACTTTCGAATTATAAGTTATTTTTTTTCGTAGATTTTATTAACTGATTTATTTCGCACATAAATAAGATAAATACATTCTATAACAGAAACATCCACCCGTGAAAAGGATTACAAAGAAAGTCAGGATAAAACATATTGTACTGTACAATAAATAAATAAAAAAAATGGGTAGTGAAATGGGAATGTTTTTTTACAGATTTTTTAGAACAAAAAAAAATTTTTTTTGATGCGAATAATTAAGCAAAATCAAATATAGACGCGACAAAGGCAAAGAAGATTAAGCCAATGAATGTGTAATTAGTAACGTACATATCCTGAGGATCATAATGTCGTGCCATTGGCAACATGCCATGTAAAATCGCATACATTAAAGAAGCCGTTACGATCGAAAAGAGTACCCCTGATACAGCATCATTCCATACGGTCACGAATAGAAGATATCCCAAGACGGCACCTAACATTTGTGAAACGATTCCCACAGTCGCTGAAATAGCAAAAGCAATCCAACGCGAACCGGTCGCATAATAAATCGGTAATGCAATGATAAGACCCTCGGGGATTTTACTGTAATATCATAATTCTTTTTCGTTAATGATTTTAAAATAATAAATAACACGTGAACTTTTAATATATTTACTGCAAAGAAAGTGCGATGGCAAATATAATGCCGATGCGTTCCGAACTAATTGTCGTAGCGAATGATGCCAATCCTTCAGGGAAGTTGCTGGGTGAAAGAATAATGAAAACGTTTAGCGTATAACCCCTTTATCTATGATTTAAAATTTTTTATTTTACTTACTGAAGTGCCAAAGCAACGGAAATTTGAATACTCAAACTTTTAAGTCTTGCAGCATCTATTGAGTGAGATTCTTTAATATTTTCGCTACTTTCGGTTGCATTTTTATCAAGTTTGACATCAGTTAAATCGTTTCTCCCTAACATTTCTCTTTTTACAAGAGCATCTTCATCAGCTTTGGTATCTTCAGAGTTAATATCTTGTTTTTTGAAGTTTTTAATAATCATCTTTGAAGATATAATTAGCATTATCGTAAGAGTGAAAATCGACGCAGCCACTAGATAGGAGTATTTTCGATCAAAGAGTTTCGATTTGCCAAACGACGCAACAGCCTCAGGAAAAAGGTCACCCAATGTAAGGAATAATAAGACTCCAGAAGCAAATGATAGTGAGCCAGCACGAAAACCCTTGGATTCAGTGATTTTAACATGGGCAAGGAATGGGATAAAAGGAAACAAGAGGTCGAGGAATGGTGTAAGGGAACCAAGTGCAGAAGCAAGAGCTGCCATAACCGTTAGACCAAATCCAAGACCTATGTTTCCTTGGGCCAAAGTACCATGATTATCATTTGCAAAAACAGAGGGTATTTTTCCATCAGATGCAACATCATCACCATCACCGTCCAAACCATGTGCATACGTATTGGTTATTATAATTGAGAGAAGGAGAAGTGTCCAGGAATAAGATACTAAATTTATTTTACTAATGAAAGACGTTATTGATGTCATTATTAGAGCTTGAAAAGGAAAAAAAAAAAAAAAAATGGAATGTTGCGATGAAAATGTTGAAAACTTTGAAATAAAAAGATAAAGGGGGGTAATATAATGTAGATAATGTAGTGGAACTTCGGAACCTTTCCTTTTTTTTTTAATTAATTTTGTCCAACAATTATTTTTTGATAAAAAAGGGTTGGTTTACTAAAAAGTTGTTCAATTGTCGATTAGTGAAACAAAAAAAAAATATAACAATACAAACAAACCGACCGAGTTTGGTCTAAATTGCGTCTGACATAATGTTTGGTGGTACAATATGGTTTCTAGCAAAGATTAAGTTCAGATTATCTCAAGATTGTAGGTACATTTGCGTATCGATTTGCCTTAAATGGATTGATCTTCGATTTCATCTTTTGTTGGCGTAAAATTTAAAGTAGAATAGATAAATCTCTTGTTCCCTAAATTTTGTACAAAACTCTAATTGTGAACATAACAAAATCCCGACATCAAAAAAGGTAAAAAAAAAAAACTGGTAATTATTACTTAATTAGAATAATTTATTTTATTACCATTGATCTTTTCTGCTGATTGAATTTGACACTAAAAAATTTT